CAGGACCTCGGTTTTACATCTCATCCGAAGGATGAAGCCTGTTTACAGTATAGTGTCCCCGTCACTATACTGGGGCGTTAGGACCCACATGGATCGCAGGGTGAGCGCCCCCTGCTGGCCCCACTAACACCTCTTCCAGCAGCAACCTTAGTTTTTCCCAAGAGGTCTCTCATCCAGGTACTGACCAGGCTCACAACTTCTTAGCTTCAGTGGGCTGCCAGATGTGAGTTGCAGAGTGATATGGCTGCAGAGTGATATAATACTTCCCCAGCTTGTTTCCTCTGCAGGGAAAGCCTTTGTTGTCATGCCGGTTATGAGGTAAGGTGAGTTAAGAGTCTTGTGCTGTGGAAATGGAAAGGCACTTTCAGGGTATTAGGAGAATCAGTGTCCAGTGTCTTAGGCAATGGGAATGGTTTAAAAAGAGGTGGCTTGAAGTGATTGATTGTTCTAGGTAAGCACAGTATTTGGATGTTGGATTCGATGAAGCAGCTGAATAGTTGAACTTGCATTAATAGGAATGCTGAAAATGACCAATGCTGAATGAGTCTATATTTGTTCTAATTGTTTGATTACTCATTATGCGTTATGCAAGCAGGTGACAGATCCTACTCAAATTTAAAGTCTGGAGGTTAGATAGGAATCCCGAAATCTTAGGTGTTCATGACTTGGTTATGTGTCTCACCAGTGCTCCGTGAACCTACACAGTGTTTCATTTGCTAATTGATTGGTACCTGTTTATGGAGCTGCTCTTCGGTGATCAGAATTACCCATCTCAGCCAGTGCCATTCTATGGCAAACTCTGAATGGTCAAAGCGTGCTTTCATGCAGCTGCATTGAACTTGAAGGTCAGGCAGAGATCGGCCAAGCTGAGCTTTCTGCACTGTCTCTAAGCATGGGTTGTGGCACTGTGGGTAAAATATTTAAAAAAACATGGGGTTTAAAAGTAGGTGTTTTAAAAGAGACATCTCAGGCTCATAACAGATGCACAGTGTACAAACCTCACATATGCAGGGGTCCCCTGGGTGTGCTGAGTTATTCCCTAGAGTCCTGCAAAGGGGAGAGACAGGGCTGGGGGGGACATTTAAGCGTCAGAGAAGAGCTTTGTAAAGAACGGGCTGAGCACGAGCTGCCAAAGGGACAGTTTCTCTAGGAATGTGCGCTGGCAGTACTGCAGAAGGAGGCCTGGATTCCTGCCCTGGATTTGTAGATGAATTCCAAGTGCGCTTCACAGAAGTGCATTTGTGAAATGTCACATATGTACCGTCAGCTGAAAAACAGTAGTGCTTTACCAGCCATTCCAGTGAAAAAGTGAAATTGAAGTACCATTAACAAGGTGGTGAAATGAAAAACAAAGATCAGTGAATGCAGAAATTATCTTCTGATTTTTATCTGGATAAATATGAAGTGGGCAACTCTGAAACTGCAAGAAAGACCAAGCAGAATCAGGGCAAATTTTAACTTTATTTAGGATTGGGGAACAGGTGCATAATTATTGCTAATGAGATATTTTTTTCCCACAAATTCTTAATGAGCTAGGATCTTTAAGTCAGGTTTCATCTTCCACTGGTAGTCTGGCAGTGATGTATGGTTTATCTCATCACCTTGAAATGTTAAAAGCCTACTAAGTTCTTTGCCTTTTTAAAAAATATTTAGGCTTTAGTGCATTTTTTCTCGTGTCCAACAGGTGGAGCCATTGCGCATGGATTTGGCCTTTTCAGATGTTAACACTCCCAGGCAACCGCTGAGTATCTACAGCTCAGTTACTGTAGATGTGCTAAACAGCAGGACTTCAGCATAAGACTGATAAATGTGTGATTACTGGCAAAGCTTAACTCTTTGGTGCACCCTTGTTCAGCAGTAGTAGACAAATATAATTTGTTAATAAAAATTATGCAGCCGGTCCCTATCCCTAAATAAAAGTATGCATTTTAAACATTCTTATGATGTTATATTTAATGTATGAACACATAAAGTACTCTTTTCTGGTATAATGCTAAGCTTTAAAGGTGATCAGTAAAGTTTTTGTTTTACCAATCAAACCAGTCAATCAAACTAGGAGGCTTAGCAAACACTGTAGAAGCTGCAAAAGAAATTCAGAAAGAGACCAAATTCAGGACTGAAGTTTGACGGCATGTCATTCAGACCAGTGCAGGGTGTAGGTAGCAGATATGTCAACTGTAGATCAGTGATTCCCTGCCCTGGTCCTGCAGGGACACTGTATGATGGTTTCATTCCAGCCCAGCTCCACTAATGACTTGATCTGCTTGCCTGTTTAGTCTTTGAACTTGTTTCTTCAGTGAATCCTGAATGTCAGTAATACTCCACTTCAGGAGTACTATTTCCAACAGCCTCAGCACACAGATCTGTACACAGCTTCTCCTCAACGTGCTGCCTGTTATTTCTGAGTTAACAGCTCTCAGTAGCTGGTCAGTTGTTGATGAACAGTCACAGGGCGGAAGGACACTTTGTCAAACACGCCCATAATGAGCTTTTGTCCTTCTGCAGGTCCAGTTGGCTACGTTTCAGACAGCACACCTAAACGAAGCCAGTTCTGAAACTCAGGAAATAGTGCAGGGTTGATACCCATGAGAGATGTTTTTAAGAGCTGGAAGTAAATATTCTCATAGGAAACTGAAATCAATTAGACTGCGATGAAGAACTTGGAGGGAGCACAAATGGCACATTCCAACATGCTTTGCTTCTGCAAATGAAGACCCCAAGTGAGACAAGAGACAGAGTTGAATACAAAACGCTCGGACTCTCCCTCTCTTGTCTGCGCCAAAGCTAATGGAAATCACGTGAAAGGGCAGGATAAATTAGGGCAATCAGTGTGGCTCTGTGGGTAATGTGGTGTGAAATATTCAAGTCAAATGACTGGGAGGCAGCCAAGCAGTTCCTCGTGATGGCTCAGGTCTGTGCCAGCCTGCACTTTGACCTTTGATCTCATCACATTTGACCTCTTTCACCGTTGATGGGGCTTGTGTGCATGGGCATTATCCTGGGTTCTGATGGACTGTACATCTTTCACGTCTCAGTTCAGAAGACCGAAAGCCTGAGAGTACAGAAGCAAAAGACTGAAATATTTTACTTTAAAAAGTCCACGCTTAAACATCACAAGGGAAAAAAGAGAAACTGAAAAGTTGGGGTCACTCCAGACATTTTGTCTTCATTTCTGTCTTGGAGGCTGCAAGATCGGTTACACTATTGTGGATAGCACGGAGGAAAAGAGAAGTTAGACAACTGGTGGCCAGGAATTAGAATAGGTTTATCTTTGGTGCTGGCAGGCTACAAGTACAAAAAGATTAAAATTGCTTCTGTACCTAAACAACCTATGGATTCTTAGTTCAGCATGACAGTCCCCAAGAAGTTCAAATAGCCACAAATTTAGGTGCAAAGTCCAAAATGTTCCACATCTGTGTTTCCTAGAAATGTTCTTTTGTTAAAGGAGATTGTTTAAGGAAAGGTGCATAATGTCAATTAAAGATGAGGGACTTTGATGAATATTTATGCAATAGTTGCTGGGCAGGTGCAGAATCACAAGCTGACCATGACCGATCCTCATAAAAGCATGTGTATAACAAATGGCTGTTCTATGCAAGAGCAAGTTTTTATTTTTTGATCACAGCTGACAAATGTAATCTTAGAACATGGCAAATCTGTCCACAGAACGAGGAATTCCCTCTTGTTACTCCTATGGAATTGGCATCTTCATGCAGAGCCTTAACTGCTACACAGGTGTGGATTTTTCTATACCTCAAATGAGTTTAAAATGTGGAGTCCCTCTGGTCCCCTTGAATCCCCAGGCTGATAGATCCTGAAACTCATTCCATACAGCTGGACCGGAGAGGCGCCTCCAACCCTGGATCCCTGAGGATGGGAATTTAGGGGGTGAGCAGTTTCACTGTATGAGGCCAGACTGCTGCCCTTCTCCTCACACATCTGCTCGCAAGTCCTTTCTCCCTCTCCCCCCGGAGCCCTCGAATTCACCCGAAGAAAGCTAAGCGCATCTGGTGTCACTTCCATTTTCATCGCGGCATTGAAGTGAAATTCCCCCCAGAGCAACTCCATGCCCTTCTCCGAGCGCTGCCTACACCTGGATCCCAGACCTCCCCGATGTTGTCATTCCCAAGCAATGTCCAGATTTCAGCCGGGAAGTTTTAACACCAGGAGTATCTCAGAAAGTAAATCGAGCCTGGATGCAGGACTGCTTTCACTGTGGGAAACGGCACATCCCGGGGACCTCTTTCAGATAATTCCCAAAGAGGCTCATAAGAGCAGCCAGCATGTTTAGTACATGGTCATCTAAACTCTCTAGATTAAAGGTCTTGGTACAAACCTGTAATTTGAGTTGATGACAGAAGAAAGACGGAGCTGTGTTAACTTTGTGACAAGGAACAGCAAGAATCAATTTACTCCCCCCCCCCCCCCCCCAAAAAAAGAAAAAGACATTATGCTGAAAGAGTTTAACGTAGTCCACAGTTAAAAATGTGCAACTGGCAAAGATTTTGTGTATAATATCGACAACCCGTCTCGCTGAAAATTTGAGAACCGTTTGGAAGAAAAAAGCATTGAATATTTGGGGCGCGGCATCCTTTTCAAGTTGGCATTTGTACCGTTTTGAAACCGGAGGTTTAATTTCTCTGTGGAAAAGCACCGCATTGATAATGTTACATTACTTGACGTCAGTTGTATGAACTTATTCTAACCTTTATAAGCTAAGGGAAAAAAAAACAAATATCAGATATGCTGGTTACCGCACGTTTCACCGTCGTTAAATATTTGTTTCTGAAGTACAACAACGAAAATTATCTTATTCATTAGGTTGGCTGTCGCATCCGATCTGACAACACATTTCCATGACTTTAATCTCCATCCTTCTGGAAACACTAAACAGTATGGGAGGGGGCGCTTTTGAAAAAGCGATTTAAGAGTGCGAATGCCACGCATTTCTTTAAACCAATCAGAGTGCAGGAACCCCACCCACTTACTCCAAGACCCGCCTTTCCACCAATGTGACCCGCCCCTATTCCTGACTTTATCCAATTGAGAACGAAGTCTCGCACTGAGTCACGACCCTCTGGCAGAATTCTTCTCTCTCGTCCCCGCCCCTTGTCCCAGGATTGTGACCAATCAGACTGCCCGAAACGTTCCGATGTCCCCGCCCCTGTCCCCGCCCTTGCTTGGCCCCTCCCACCACAGTCCAGGGAAACTTCGCAAAACAACTTCGCCGTGGATTCGCGTGCGGTGGGAATTGAGTGAGCAGAAATATCCCTTTGGAATGTAAAAAGCAAAACAAAAAAGTGGATTTTGTTGACGAAGTTCCCTCCATAGACATGAGTAAGGTAGGGAGTGAATATTATCTCGTCATATGAACGGTTTCTAATTACAGTTCTTTGAAATTATACTTGATGTAATTTAGAATTTATATAATAAATTGTGGACCCCCCAGGAAACGCGTTTTGTTCCGTTTCTGTGTTTGTTTCAGCGTGTTTAAAATGTTTCATATGCTGAAGGGACGATATTGGATTATCCTGTGTAGCGTCATTTCGCGCTAAGTGAAATGCGCTGCAATTGAATAACTGCTTTCCGTCCGAATCGCTGTAATAACCCCTATATCTAAAATTGGTATATTTTTCTCCGTAACAGTATACTACGAAGTTGTCATTAACAGTGATTCATATATATTCTATTACTTTTCCTGTTAACGTGTCTGAGGAGCAAATTAATTCATTAGCCTGCGACTGCAAAGACCACTTTCTAGCCGGTCAAGTCAGCTGAGCTGAGCAGCTGCTGGTTCTGTAAAAGTGACATTTTAGCTTTTCGCTACACAAAGTCTTGTGTGCCGATGTAGTGTTTACGCAGTCCACGTTTCGTCCTGGCGCTGCGTGGGCTGTTTACAGTAAACTGGGATAACGTCTCTCCCGGTCAACTCTATCAGGAGGAACAAGGCAATTTTCAGCGCTCTGTTTCTTTTTGTAAACATTACGACAGATATCGAAAATGTCAGGATAGAAAGTGACAGTTGGGGGGAAAAAATGGTTTAAACATAGCGATTTTTTTTTCCTTCAGGTGGTGGTCTTTTGTGTGGTCGTGTTTTTTGTTTTTACTCCAAATTCAGTTCACCGGGCAGTAGCCATTTTTAGAGATCAGATGGGCGAAAATCTTGGCTTTCAAGCATTGCGAATCCCATCATCGCCTTTTCATACTTTTTTTGTTGTTGTTGTTGCTGCTGTAGGTGAGTGAGGTGTCGTCATTAAAAAAAAAAAGCCAAGCTTTAAGAGGGTACACACCTCGGATACAGCAGGTATCAAATAACCTCCTCCTCTAGGTGTTCGGAAACTTGACCAGAAACTTACTGCGTCACCGCTCAGGTCCAGCTAGATGTTCCCCTCAGATGTCATACTTGCATGGAACTGGACCGTTTTTACATTTCCTGTGGGGTATTTTGTTTTGTAACTTAATTCTAGAAGCTTATTTTTTCCCCCGGATCTCCTGTTTTTATTCGGCGGTTTCTGCTACGTTTCTGTTTATTGACTGCGCCCCCCGCACGCTGGGCTTTAACCAGGGTGGGAGGGGGGTACAATGAGACGGTCCCTTAGGAAAACACAGGGCAGCAGAGCCCCAAACCCCCTTTCGGAACCGAGGTTCGTCGCATTTGCAGTGAACGTACCGTCCATCTGTTGTTTCAGTTCATTGCGATGTCGTAGTTAACCGTTATGAAAAAAAAAACGTGCTCATTTTAAATTTGGATATGAAGTATTCTTTCTGTTAGTGCTAAACCAAAAGAATAGGTGGCATTTGTCCCATTTATAGCTCTGGAAGAAGTGCGTTGCAGCCGCGGTGCGGGGCGGAGTGTGTCGGCCAGGTACCGATTCCCCAGCGCTGAAAGATTCGCCGATTTGCTGTTTTCTGCACGGATGCTCAGAGTTTTACTCGGAGCAGTTGATCTCTTGGCGACAGCTTGGGTTGGCGCTCGAGTTTAGACGCGAATAAAACACGGCTTCAAGATCGGACGACGGCAGGAAATTTTAATTTCGCCAGTTTATAGGAACGTAAGCGAGTCAGGCGCGCGCTCTTGTCCCATGGGGATGGCAATGGAAACCGCGGGGTGGAGAAGCGCCTGGAGAAATCGGACTCTGATCCGCGATTTGTAGCTTTGACTTCACTGATGACCCCGTTGCCTGTATTTGTTTGTTGACTGTTTAGCCAGTCTCCCCTCTGCCTCTCCGATTTTAGCACCGCGCTTTAAGATTGAACCAAACCCTTCGACTCTGCCCTGACACACACACACGCACACCCCGGTCCGCTTCCCTCCGTGCAGTCTGTCCTGGAGGTGGGTGAGTTTAGAAAGACAGCGAGGTGATCGAGGCTTAAACCTCAAGCACAGCATCAACAGCCTGTATTGATTAACCAGCCGTTTCTGCGAAGCAGAAAGAAAGATGGTTCAGGCTGATCTCTCCGATGCTCTCAAGGGGCTTCAAGTTATCTAATCTCTGAGGTTTCTGCAGGCCAATCTGACCCTGTGATCCTGCCCGGTTAGAGGCCCTGCAGGAGATGGCCTGTAGGATAGGGAGGGAAAGTTTTTATTTAGCAGTGCTGTGGAAAACCTAAATTATCACAAACATGTGTGGCAGGCTCTCGTGGAGCAACGTTATGAATGATTTCTCTGCCTGATCTGCCGGTGTCCCTGGCTGCTGTGTGGTGATCCAGGAGAGCTGGCCCCTTTTCAGAACTCCACGAGAAAAAGGGTTAAAGAATCCCCCTCCCCCCACCCCCACCAGTCTTGTGAAACCTTGCAAGCTGAGGTTGGAGTCAGAGAGCGAGAATCCGGCTCGGCAGCGCGGGGAAGTGGGAGTGAGTCGTTTTCTGGGAAGAGGAACGCATGAAGGAAAGGGCAGCGCAGGCGTTTCTGTCCCAGCTCTGAGATAAGGCCCCCCCTCAGGTCCCCCCACCCCCCGAGCCTGCTGGATGTCCGCTTGCTGGGGACAGGCAGGAGGGCGAGGAACACGTTGCCCTGCGCCCCAGAATCGAAGCGGGGATCCCTGTGGGTAGGAGGGCAGACGGGATGTGGAAGAGCTCCCAGCGGAGCCCATGAGCAGAGCGCTAGGCAAGCACTGTGGGAGAGTGTGCGTCTCTGTAGGGCCCTGCAGCACTGGTGATGGCCACTGTACCAACTCTCCCTCGCCTGTAGCCAAGCCCTCCCTGATAGTCTTCTAGCCAGCGTCTTCCCAGTTTTTCAGAGTTTCAGGAACCCGGGATGCTAAAAAGCGAAGGAATCCAGATATCATTGGACAACGTTGGTTTTCACACCAGCACAACGGAAACTAACCTCAAAATACCCGCCAGCTCTTTCAGTCCCCACTGGCTCATTCCCCCGGTTTTGTTTTGCCAAGATGTAGCCTTTTTCCTTATCAGTGCGACTTCCGAAACGCCTCCTCCCAGGTCTTCCGAGCAGAGGCGAGCCGGCGATGGCGTTGATGAAGTCGGCCGGGGTCCCGCTGGGGGATGCCTGTCCAGCTCTGTCCAGAGAGAGCGGGAGAGCTGTGGACCACAGCGCTTGTCCCCGTCGGAGGTTCACACAGCGGGACTGTCCTGCAGCTCTGAGCATCGCCTTCCAGAGGAGGCCGCCTGCTTGTGAGCCGTGTGCACAGGACTGACAGTCTCAGGCGGCTCCTGTCGTCCCCACATTATTCAACACAATTCGGGCTTTCAGCCTGTGGTGGCTCTTTCGCACGATGTAGGCCAAACTGGGTATAAAAGGCTGGACACTAAAAATCAAGACTTGCAGTGTATAGCAGCAGAAAGTGAACAAGACAGGGCAAAACACACACGTGTAACAGCACTTGTTTAAAGGGGTGTAAACTCGTAGTCCTGTGGGAATCGTGCTCTAGAGAGGTTTAAAAGCTCATGTAGACTCGCAGGTTCTGTAAGGCTTGAATTAAAATTCAATACTGGAGGTTCTTTTTTCATTTGTGTTGGGCTTTTCATCCCAAAGCATGCCAAAGCACTTTATATACCAGAGGACACCTGGGAGTGCGATATTAGGGTCGTAATATCCAGCACACGCCCTCTGACCTGCCGTGTGTTGCTCTCCAGAGCTCACATCGTTGAAAGGCATAAGCAAAGCCGATTTCCTGCAACCCATTAAAGTTTCATCTGGAGGAGCGCAGGGGCCTCGGTAAGAGCTCCGAAGTGGCACAGGGGAGCAATGATTTTTGTAAGAGGTCTTGCCTCTATATAGGATTAAAGGTCTCCTGCAGTGTATTTTTAATCTGTGCTCTATGCCGATGACATCAGTGTTATAAATATCCAGGTTTTGATAACTGGGCTGGAGGGGGACAATGGGTGTTCCGGAACTGTGGCAGGATTCCGGGAACAATAGCCTGGCATTGGAGGATGTGCGAGACTGGGGGGCTGTGTGTGTGGGTGACACATGTACTGGGTAACTGGCAGCCTATCTGTCAGTGGGCCAATCCAGTCTTTACAAGCCTGAGTGACTGCATCTTCAGAATAGTGGTCCTAATAACAGAAGCTGCCCTGGACTTTGATAAATCGCAAAGCTTTTGTCATTATTCCTGGCTGTTCTCTGTGTGCACGCTGGGTGTTAGGTGTGTGTGGTAACATCCATGTGAACTGGATCTGTTTCCCACTAGGCTGGCGTTATCCCAGTGTGGCCGCGCCTGTCGAACACATGCAACAGGCACAACGTTTCTCAATGTGCAGGTTCTTTTAGTTCACTTAGAAGTTTTAGCATCAGTTGTAAAGCTCAAAATTCAGTTCAGATGCACAAGGACAATGAAAGACGTGTGGTATCTCTTGAGATAACTAGTGTGAGTGGGGACATATTGTAGCTTGAAAAATTAATAAAATAACTTGTTGCAGAACTTCGATGACGTTATGGAGAAAATGCAAAGGATGTGATATAGATTTTGGGGTTTTAATCCACAGGCTACAAGCAGTTTAAGAAATGTTCTCCTGCTGGAAGGAGCTTGTGATTCGAACTCGAAAATGGTGCATTTCGCACGCAGAGCCGTGAACTGTCTTTGACACTTCAGAGTGGATCAGCCGGAGGACGACCTCAGAGCCAGAGCCAAAAGACACATTCTGTAATCCTGCTGGAACTGGGCACCTCATTCCAGTCCGGCTGCAGCCTGGAGGAGAGGTGGTGTTGGTCTCCCGTCAGTCAGGCCACAAACTGATGGTAATGAGCAGTAGCTAACACTTTCTCCTTAACTGACGGTTCGTAATCAAACAACATGGAAATGGCCAACACCGAGAAGAAAAAAACACTTTGTTGAAAACATACCAGTGATATTCTCGTTGCCAAGTAACATCTGTGGAA